TTTATTTTTTTGTAGGACTGAAAATTAAACTCAAGACCTTCACATTGAGCTACAACCTTAACATATTTTTAGTTTGAGATAGGGTCTTGCTAAGTCCCTAAATTGACCAGCCTGGGCTTGGATTTTTGACCCTTCTGCCACAGCCACCAAGAGCGCTGGGATTACAAGCATGTGCTACAATACCTGACCACATTTTCTGCTTTTTATGAAGAAGTGGCCACACTAGCAAGTCAACGTCTGCTCCATGAACGTAAAGAGATGTCACAGGTAACAGGTGGGCCAGCACGTGGTGGTGCTGGGTGGGCATTTGCCAGGCGATGGGTAGGCAGGGTTAGGGGCACCTTCCCATCTCAGCTCAGTCCTGCTCTAATTGAACCACTTCATCTCTTGGGGATTCCATTTCTACACTTTCTAAAGGAGAGGACAACACTAAGTACTGGGGGGTCTCCCACCCTTTGAGATGTTTCTTCCATTTAAAAAATCACACTTTTGGCTCCAGGGCCTCCAAATCATTGGCAGGAAAGTGACAGAGGAAGGAGGGAGGGAAGGAAGAGAGGCAGCAGGGAGGGGGAGGAGAGGGAAGGCAGTATGTGTACGCTTGTGTCACATTCAGCAGTCTTCCTGTGGCTCTCTTTCCCACTTGACATTACATCAGAACACGAAACACAGACAAAGTGCTTGTGCGCATGTGCCTCTGTGAGCCACCCAACACCACCCTGCACAGCCACCCCAGGTCAGGGAACAGGCTATGTGGCCTGGGCCTCTCCTGAGTGCTGCCTTCCATGAAGTGTTCCTGCAGCTCAGTGAGACCTCTTAGAGGCACAGGTCTCCTCTCCTATGGTGCCTCAGGGAGCACAGTTCTAAGGGTTCAGTGAAGTCATCTCCATCAACACCTTCCTGTCTGCTGTGGGTCTCTGCTGCAAGAAATCCTGACCCAAGAACAAACAGGGCATGCCCCTATGTCATCGTCTAGGCATGCCGTGTTCTTCTCTTGCACTGATGTTCTGCACACACAGGTTGAGTTTTGCCTGCCACAGTGATCTGCTTTCTGTCCTCTCCTTGGTCTGCCCTGAAGACCTGGTCACCACAGGTCTCTCTGACCATGAAACTCAGATCCTGAGGTCTCTCCTTGTCCTCAGACTGCACTGTCCCAGTCACTGTGACCTAGGAGACTTTGTCTTGCAAATTCCCCATTACTCTCCTCACGAGTATCCTGGTGATTCTGGATCTATGCTTTTCCATATAGTTTTTCTCTGTCCCCCACAGAACTGAGGACTGAATCAGGGCCTGGGATGGTGCTAGGCAAGTGCTCTACCATGGAGCCACAGCCCTATCTTCCATATACATTTTACAACAGCATGTTAATATTCCTCAAAAAACCCTTTGGATTTTGATTTGAACTGTATTGAATTTGTGTGTTTATAATACTTAGTGTTTCTACCCATGCATTTAATATGTCTCTTCATTTATTCCAATCTTTCAGTATTATTTAACTTACAATTAAAGGCATATTTAAAAAAATGTCATCCCATTGTTGATTTCAAACCAACTGCTTTGAGATAAGAGCATGGCTTGTATGATTTCAGTCTTTGAAAGGCATTGAGATCTGCTTTCTGGTCTAGTTTGTCAGTTTTGTAAATGTTTCTGGGTTGGGTGTCACAATCAACACATGTGTGTCAGATGAGGACCTCTCACAGCTGTGGGTAGGTCTATGAACTGCTCACCTGACCAGTCATTCACAGATGCCCAATTCTCCCTCAGGTTCCTTTTGGTCAGTATTTTCCTAGCATATCTACTTCCATTCTTTTAATTTTGGGGGTCCTTATGTTATAGATATGTGTCTTAAAAGAAAAAAAATCCCCTATTTGTGTAGCTAGCTTGTCTATTTGTTTAGGTTTTTAAAAATATAGTCTGACAGCATTTTTTAACCAGAAAATTTCATTCTTTCACTTTGATCATGGTTATCCATATATTTAGGCCAGTTCCTGCCATCTTACTGTGTACCTTCTAATAGTCCTATTTTTCTATGGCTTTTCTTTTCCTTTTTTAAACTCCTTTTCTTTTGAACTTTTCCCTCTTCACTCATTTTCTCCTTTATATTGCTACAGAAGCTACATAGTCGACTTGTTTTCTGTCCGTGGTCACTTTGAAATCTTAACATGTACATTTAGGCCTAAAACTCATAGTGCAGTGATACAACGGCCTACCAAACGTCTCATCGCCCATGCTACATTCTGGCCTCTGTGCGCTACTTTAATGCACTCAGTTCTCTTATGCTGAGCCCATCAATTAGACAGTATTGAAAGGGTTTTGCAGACTCTGTACTTCTTTTCCCACATGCCTACTTTCTTTGCTCACCATTCCTTCCTGAAATTCTAGCCTTCCTTCTGGGGTCATTTTCC